ATAAATATTGTAGGAAGAATTAACGTGTTTTTGCAGTGAAAAAATATAATATCAGACTAATCTCTACAGATAACATATCGCCGGGTTGCTCAGGAACATGAAGATATGAATGCAGTTTGTCTGTAATAAGCACAATGCTGCATGTGATTGGTAATTTAGCAGGATCGGCTTCAGTTAAAAGATCATTAGTTTGACCTACTTATTTGCGTTGGAATTGACAAGCGGACACTCTCAGCATAATCTGTATAGGACAATCAGACTACTGAAAAGAAAGAAATGTTGGCGCTCTGTGAAAAGAGCCATATCCTAAAAATAAGCAGTTAAGACTGCATATGGCTACTGATATAGCACAATTTTATAGCATTGAAAAGAACCAGAGGTTGTATGATAATGCTATGGGTTAGCTTCGCAGAAGATTTGTCTGGCATGCAAAACAGAAAACCTGCCGTAACCCATTTCCTTGTTTGTTATTGTCAGAATATCCAAAATTATTGTGTCTGGAAAAGCCTATCTGATTCGTAATTTAACAACCTCTGCAATAAGTAAAGCCGAAGTAGTTTAGCAAAACATTATTACAGTGGTGGGTTCTCGTTCATATTCACAAACGCACACAATAAGCACAACACTTATATTATGAGCAAAATCAATAAATAAGCTAAAGGTTCCAAAAGAAGAAATCCATCGAACGAATAGATAACGAGAAGCTTGTGGAATCGGTGCATATCCGTAGGATTCATAAGTATTCCAGTATGTGCGATCGTATTCATTAACATCCCGCACCAGTCTCTCAGTTAGCAAAGACATTCAAAAGGTGGGTGTACCAAAGTTAACTTGGTTTGTCTAGGAAATCGCTGAGCGTCGCTCTCCTGCTATTTCACTTGTTTTCCATGAGAAACATCGCTGCACCACGGTAGGAAAATTACTCAATTTCCCTTCTTCAATTCCTTGATTAATATTTCTAGAATATGCGCTTCCGTGGCCATTGCGAAACCTGATTAAAAAATTGATGTGTTGTTTTCCCTTGAAATCTCAGCGAGGAAATTTTTCCTGTCAGTTAAAAAAATATAACTAAGAGGATTATGTACCGAAACAATGCCCAAGTAACATGCTTTTGCTCGGTTTGAGAGAAGAGGAGACAATATGAAAGTTCAAAGGCCCTTACTTGTATTATGGGTAAACAGGCTGACTTTTGAATGTTTTCCTTTTTTTGAACGGGTACACTAAGAGATATATCGATATACCGATATATCGACGGCTATATCGGTCGAGATTATCTACAGTAAACATGATCCAA